GAGTAACAGGAACAAATCAGCTGCGGAATGCCAGCCTGAAGATGAGAGACACCCCAAGCCACGATCCCGCCAGTTGATTGCGAACCTCATGGGACTGCTGAGAGAGTGATGCCTATCGCTGCTGGGCGTGGAATCCGGGATCCGGATACAAGCCATCGCTTCTTCGTACCTGATTCACTTCCTTGACTCTTCGTGAGCCAGTGGCTCTGAAACCGCGTTCAGGCTGTATAAGCAGATGGAGCTTTTCTCCCCTACGACCGGCCAGCACGGACGCCCCTCCAACCCCTCCCCCTCGCCCCCCAGAAAAGCTTACCAGAACTCCCATGGAAGACGTTCGGCCACAGCATCGGGCGCGCTTGCCCCGCAGGGCAAATTTTCGTCATGCCTTGAGATCGGCCGGCAAGGAGTGCTCATCCCCAGCTTCCACCTTGTTTCCACCAAGGGCCGAGAAAAAGAAAGCCGGTTGCGTTATGCCGGCAGCGCAGGCAGCGACAGGAGTCCTAATTTAGGACCTCGCCTCGAGCGAGTCAAGGTTTGGGGGTGACTACACCCGAAACCTGCAGCACTTGGCCTTCCACAGCAGGCGTCTTCGGAGCCGCGGTACCTTGCCGGCGGGAGGCGGGCTGGCGCCGCCGCTGCCTTGGGGAATCCTGTCGAAGCGGCCGCTGGGTCGCGCCTGGCGCCATGGCTGAGGACAAGCCGCTGAATCTCGTCGATGCCGATGGGCAATTCAATGACGAGGGGATGCGGGAGTTCGCCAGCGCAACCAACCTCATCCACTGCGGCCTGGGCTACCAGATTGTGGCGGTGATGGGCCCGCAGAGCTCCGGCAAGAGCACGCTCCTCAACTACGTGGTGAGACGCGCCGCTCACCGCGTTCCTCCACACCCCTTGGACGACCACCCTTCCGGGCAGGGAAGTGGGTGTAATCCGACGCCCGGTTCGCTCGCCTTTCTTGCCGCGCGCGCCGTGCCCTTCATCTGAAATTCGCCGATCCCCCGCGGGCGTGCCTGCAGTTTGGGACGACCTTCAAGGAGATGGACGCCCTGCGGGGTCGCGGCCAGACCACCAGGGGCATCTGGGTGGCCAGGTCGCCGAAGATCGAGGACGTGACGACGCTGGTGATGGACCTGGAGGGCACGGACGGGCGGGAGAGGGGTGAGGACGACACGACCTTTGAGCGGCAGAGCGCGCTGTTCGCGCTGTCGGTGGCGGACGTCCTGCTCATCAACATATGGTGCCACGACGTGGGGAGGGAGCAGGGGGCGGGCAAGCCGCTCATGAAGACGATCTTCCAGGTGCGGGGTTGGACGCCATGTGGCGCGCGGGTGGCTGATCCTCGGGGCCGTCCAACCTGGCTTACTGCAGGCAGCTGGCGCAGGGGGCCCAGCGGGTGGGCCGGGCCCGGATGTGGGAGATGGGATGGAGGGGGAGGCCTGGGTGTCCTTCGAAGTCCGCCTTGATTGCAGTTGTGCAGAACGGCAGAGAAGCACTGCCCTTGTGCCTCTGAGGCGACGTGGGATGTCAGGTGTCATGCGTCGTGGAGACCTTTTTGGTGCCCTGGCCAACATCTGAAGTGGCAGCAAAGTGGCTGGTGGGGTACAATGAAGTGGACCGAGGGGACCATGGCGCCCTTCCCCCCTTGGAGCTGATTCTCTATTTAACCCCTAATGCAATGGCCAAGGCTAGCCGAGATGAGCACGTTGTTGGTGCTATCCAGAACAACGCACAGTAGTGAGCATGTTCAATCTTGTGGGTTTGTCACGACAGGTCAACCTGAAACTGTTCACACCCAGCCCTGGACGAAAAAAGACTGTCCTCCTCTTCGTCATACGAGATCGCTCAAAGACGCCTATGGAAAAGTTGACTGCGGTCCTTGAGGATGACATCAGGGGCATCTGGTCAACCATGCCCAAGCCACCGCAGTACGAGCAGACAAGTTTTCGAGATTTTTTTGAGGTAACTACACTGAAAGCAGGCAGCTGATGATCTGAACACTCACAGTGGGCCTTTTGCTGTTTCTTGCCCCTGCTCTTCTTTGGCATCTGCTTAGTTTCTTTGCATATCTCAGAACTATGTGTGTGGTATGGACAGAAATGATAGTGCAAACCGACAGGCGAGGATTGAGACAGGCTACAGCCTTGTCTGATCATCAATGGCTCATCGCAAGTGCTCTCCTGAGCGACTGCATAGATCAATGAAAATGAAAATAGACTTGCTAGCCATCGGCATAGTTGCTGGAGGGCATACTCAATTGAGCGTGCCACTGTGTTTCTGGACCCTGCCATGCTATGCACAGCTCTTCTTTTCCCAGGTTCAACCTGTTTCGAGTGCTTGGATGTGCCTTCATGTTCCAGGTTGCATACACATCTCTCCCAAACTATGAGGAGAAAGAGGACGACTTCAGAGCTGAGACCTATCTGTTGAGGAAGAAATTCTCATCCGAAGGTGGAGTGCACTGTGCAGTATTCCCAGTGCCTATGTGTTGACCACATGCTCTTTAATGCCTCATTGCGCATCCCTGTGCCTGTTGACTGCACACAGATGGCAAGGGACAGATAGGAATATATAAAGTTCTGCTTTCAAGTTTACGAGTCTTGAAGTTGTGTCTTGTGTAGTCAATACGAAGCATGTATTTCGAACTGATTCTGTTTGCTGGAATGGGAATTTGCTATGAGCACCAGATACACAATGTCAGAGTTTGTACTGCAGTTTTGTGGCCATGGCTTCATGCTGACTGGTGTTGCGGCTGTCCAGAGTCTGACAGCTATGTGAGAACTGGTGACAAACTTCCTGGCGATGCCATCACTATGAGCACGCAGAAAGTGTGGGAGTTAATCAGGACACACAAAGATCTGGATCTTCCGGCCCACAAGGTGATCTTGCACTACTGGACATGGGGAAGCCATGTTGGTGTTATAGTTCTATTGTACTCACTGCACGCCACTGCAGCCCTATCATATCAACTCAGAATGTTGAGGTTAGGAATGAACTCAGACGGGTTCATGATTATCCTGCTCATTAGGCTGTAGACTGGCTTTGTTCTTGGAGAATGAATACACAGATGGTTTAGCATCATTTAGCATTTATGCTGGGTGACAAACGAATTTGATCAGCAATGCACAGAGGACAATTGTTCTTGTATTTATGCCACTACTGTTGGGGCACTGGGGCTGATGTTCACAATGTGGCTTTTGCCATTGCCTTCAGGGCATAAGTGTTGAATTTGAAAAAAAACGCTTTTGCAGTGGAACCCACTGTAGAATTTGTGCTGCACCCTGTTGAAGGCAGAAAATCCAGCGATTCGAGCTCTGTGGATGGCAGCTGGTTTCTTGCACAACAGCAGCAAACCTAATTGACAATGTGCTGTTCAGATCATGGTTGCAAACACAAGGTGTGCTGAGATCTTGACTGAACAATTGGAAGGTCTCAAGAATGATATGCTCTGGGAGGAGCTGGTAAAGGAATCTGAGAAGTCTGTTGTGCACAACTTTGGAGAGCGAGCATCAGCGCTGATCACCAGCTGCCTATCTGGGTAAGTCAGTTTTTGAAACCAGATGATTCTAGATTGCTGTCACTTTCGTTTCCATGGGTAGTGCCTTTGCATGTCCGGTTGCAGACTTGACAATGCCTAGACATTATTGATTTGTGCATAAATTGCTCCTGGTGTTACATTTCCCATGACATCAGGGGCAGATGTGTTGTTCTGTGCATTCCCATTTATGGAGTATACAGAGAATTGGTCGCTTGTACGCACAGGTTCGCCTGATGGGAAGTGTGTGCTGCGGCAAGTTGTCTGTATGCAGAGCTGATGCAGCCAGCATCGTTGCATGGGATGTGTTGAATATGCAACTTGTAAACTATTGCAGCTCGATGTGATGGCTTCTGTCATCCACGTGCTCTCTGGCTCGGCATGGCACTGGCTAATGTTTGTCCAATATTCTGGTGTGCAGATATGATCAGGAAGCTCTGTACTTTGATGAAGAAGTGAGAGCAAATAAACGACTGGAATTGGTTGAGAAAGTTCAGGCCCTTGCAAGGCCAGCCTGTGAGCAACAGATGCGCCACCTTCGAATTCAGATGCTGGACGATTTCAGCAAACAACTGAAGATTGGAACAACTGTTGATGGCATTCCCTTCTCTGAATGTGCAAAGAGGTGTGGTCGGCCTGTGCAAGTTCCAAAGCACACAGCTTGGGTTGTCAAGAGGTTTATCTTCTCCTGTGTTTTACTGTGTATTCTCTGGATGTGCTGTTAGTGCGAATGTGGAACCTTGACGGAGTCCTTCACAGAACAGTACATAAGGGCATCCCAATCGCACCTGTGCTTTGCACCTATTCTTCTACAATTGACCAAAGTTCCATTGTTCCTGGGCATGCAGACTGGCAGTATACAGATACTTGACAAGGGACAAGATGTCCAGTCAGGTTCCGTATTTGAGCATATCACGTATTAGCACAGGATAGCCAAATTAGCTGCAGCGACTACAGTGTATCTCAATTGGTTTGGGAGGATGTTGCCAGATTTTTTTGTAAGACCCATGATGGTTGCTGCAGAAGAAGTCAAGCAGCCTTCTGTTTCAAGTCAAGGGCAACTGCCCGACAGTCAGCAGAAGTAATAATCAAACCATTGGTGAATGCTCAGGTGCAAGGAAGAAGCGTTGGCAGCTTTTGCTGACGAGGGTGCGAAATCTGACATGCCTTCAATAGGCTGGAGTCATTCAGAATTCTGCCCCGCCATGGAGCGGTCCGTTGATGGGATGGTCTCCGACCTGAAGAAGGACAAGGTTGAAACCGTTGGCCAATAGATGTGTACTTGGGCCAATAGATGTGTACTTGGCTGAATTGGGCTACGTGCCTTCTGCAATATAGTTGTGTACCATTTAGTTGTCGTTTTGGCAACAGTTGTTGCTGTAGTGTTTTATTGGCAGTGTAAGATCCTTGAGAATTGCTTTGGTGCTGTGGAGTTTCGCCTTAAGCAGTGGGCTAGTCATCAGACCGATGCTGTGTTGAAGAAGAGCTGTGGCAGCAAATGCCACCAGACTGCAGACGAGAAGACTTGTGTGAGTTGCGGCTCCAACAGTTGCCTCCAAGTAGCAACGAGAGTTGTTTGTGGGCAGAGGTGCTAGTGTGTAGGCTTGCAGCTGATTCACTGTGTTTGATTTTTTGTGGGACAGGATGGTGTAGGTTCAGGTTCATATCTGGACAAGGAACTTGTTTTGCCAACATCACATGTGCATGGACGTTTTCTTGTGTTGCAGTGCTGATATGTGCATGGACTTGTTGCACAGGTCGAGGCTGTTTTCAAGACTCTGCAGGACGGCTTTGCGACTACACTTGTGGGCCCCAGCGCGGAGCTTCTGGACACTATGCCACAGCAGCTGTGGCAACGACTGCGTGGGCTTATGGGCAGTGCCATCAAGCAAGCCAGTGGGCAGCTGGCAAAGAGCCTTGAGGGTTACGATTTCCTTGAGGAAGAAAGGGATGATATGGAGTCCAGGATACAGGCAGCGGCTGAGAAGATTGTTGTTTCCAGTGCGACAGAAGCATCGCACACAGTCTTGAATCGCATGCGCATCAGGTATAGGGATGTCTTTGTGGTGGGTGTTGTCCACAGGAGCGAAGTAATGGCTATCTGCTGCTGGTTAGTCCAGTGTCATAGCTGTCTGTTTGGTTGCAGGAGGCAACACACAGCATTCACTGCCTTGGAGCCAGTAGTGGGACAATTGATGCATTTACAGTAGCAATGGCTGGACCAGCATCATGGGAAGATGCATGCTCGTTTGAAGCCGTTCAGATTGTTATTGTTTCAGTTTGCTATCAACTTCAGGTGAGATGGAGACATGCCACACACGCTGCCCAAGGCTCATGCTGTCATGTACACCTCCTGCAGGCGTAGGCATCATGGAAATGTTGCTGATCCTGCATACCATTCAAAGAACAGTATCTGACTTTGGGATGCTGGAACCTCTGTGCAGGTTCGCCGACGCCTTTTCCATGGATGAGAACAAGATGCCACGGACGTGGATGCCAAAGGATAACATCGCAAAGGCTTCCAAAGTGGCGAGAATGGCAGCAGCAGATGTGCTGGCCCAGCTAGTGATTATCCAAGTCGAAAAGAATGCTGCTGCGGAGGACGCTGAGTCCGCTGTCAGGGATATGGCCCGCCAGGACCTGGAGGACAGCATGAGCGGCAAGCGCAAGCAACAGTCAAAGTATGCGGTGATGGGGCTGAGTGTGTGGCCAGACTTGGACCCAAGTTGCTCGCTCGTGTCTCCCCAAGAAGCTTTCTCCAAGTGGCGGCAGTTTGTGGTCGAAACCAAGCTGCAGATAACACAGGTGCGGCCATAGGCCTGTGACCTGTAGAGGTGGCGTGCCCTTCCAGGTCGCATTTACCTCGATTGAGATAGTTCAGTTTATGCCTTTAACTTGCAGAATGGTCGTTACATAGGATTGCTACAGTTTGGGTTCTCTAGACTGGTGGCTTGGTGTGACCTTGCAGCTGGCGTCGGAGCTGATTGCTGGCATATTATTTGCTTGAAGTCCTCTTGTTGCACCAATGACCTGCTGTTTGCTGGAGTACACGGAAGGGCGTTCCTGTGTGCTTGTTGCTGAGATCCTCAAAGCCTGGATCATGAGTATCTTTTCGGTGCATGATCGCCTGGGCAATCACTCTTTCCTTTGGACATTGGGTTTTGCAGTATCTTGCGATCAAGTGTGAGACCCAGCACCTAGTTAGCTGCTCCAGATGTGTCTGAACACTGCAGACCAGGAAGCCATTATCATTCTTCCGACTGCGAAATGGTTGTCATTCCGAATCACATTAGAGCGCTTGAATTTCCCGATATTTGGGACGATAGCTGATCGGGCAACACAGTAGACGATTGGGACTGTTGACAGTGTATGATATTTGGTCTTAGTTGTATCCTCTGTGGATGACGCTAACTAGGAACGTTTCTTGCCCGCAAGAGATGAGAAATTTCCTCCAGTTGTCCGAGCTGATTTCCCACGATTGGGAGACGTAGACGACTCGTGCATCAACAACAGCGTTTTTGGCAACTAAGCAGCCCTCTGCTATTTGTGTTTGTGTGTGGAAGGATACTTGTTGGAAGGATGTGCTGCGGTGTGGTGGGCCATATTTGGCGTATCATGCCAAGCTTTAGATGCAGCCGAAAGGACTGTGCTGAGGCTGTCCGTGTTCTTCTCTCACTCAATGATGCTTGCTGCGTTGCTACAGGCGGCACTCACGCAGCAGGCCAACAGGCTGGCCAGTCATCGCCCGCCCCCACTGTGGGCAATCTGCGCCATGCTGCTCCTGGGCTTCAACGAATTTATAAGCATCGTGTACAGCCCCGTCATGCTCGTGACGATGATTTTCGGGCTGCTTTTCATCCGAACGCTGTATATGGAAATGGACGTCGATGCGGAGATGCAGAAGGGAGCGCTGCCAGGCCTGATGTCACTGGGTAGGTGCAGTAGAGCCTGCCTAATTGCTGCTGAGGCCGGCGGATTCTACTTTTGAAGAGGGCATGGAACCTTCTTTAAGTATCTGGCCCTCATGATCGGGTTATGCGTGCTCACGGTGGGCCGCTTGTTTCAGTTTGCCTCATCTCGACCTATGTTGTTGCAGTTGCTGAGGTGTTTAGAGTCTTCTCTGTGCATATGCCAACTGGCATCCTGTCTGCCTGCTGCTTCCCAGGGGCCAAATTCGTGCCAGCCGTGAAGACGGTATCACAGAAGACACTGGAATCCACCAAATCTCTGATATTGCCGGAGTCGTCGTCCAGTCATCAGCAGCCAGGCGGGCCTTCCAATAATTCAAGTCCTCCCGGTGGTGAGCAGCTGTGGTCGCAGCGTGGTGTCGGTTTGCACGTGCTACAGCGACTCCAATCTGGCAACATTCCTTTTGTGCAGTGCGCAAAGGTCGTAAAAAAACCTGGCCTCAGCCTCGTCCGAGGCAAACTATTTGTTGCTGTGGCACGAGTTTGCGCTGCTTATGCTGCTGGCGGCATTGAGGGATGATATTGCACATGTCATGGATGAATGCTTCCTTCTGTCCCCTTCCTTCTGTGATCGCCCATGTGGATGCATGCCCTTCTGTGATCGCCCATGTGGATGCATGCCCCAGGCGCAGATGGCGTGGAAGGGCCGACGTCCGGCGACCAAGCCCAGACTGAAGACCGCAAAGACAAGTAGCATGGCAGCTCAGTTGTTGCATTCGGGATCCAAAATCCTGGCCCAATATTGCTTGACACGCTCGTCCGAATGTGGACTTTTCCTTCTATTGAACCAGACACCGATTGCTGCTTATTGTAATTGTGATTTCCTGATGTTGTGACATCGGCATCCTTCGATGCAAATGATCACATTGACGGTGATGATGTATAAAAACCCCAACGGCTTCCACAGCCAGGGATTGATGGCGATAATGCACAGGGCACGGTCCGCCACACGAATTCACGCAGTGTGCGGTTGGGCCCGCCTCATTCAGCCCAGAACTGTGCACAACAACGAATGTAAGCACCCAATTGCACACCGTGGCTGTGGGAAATGGCCACAGCGCTGCGCCGCCTAGGGTGTGCAACCGCGGCGAGGCTGGACACGCGGCCCTGTTTTGTCGCCGTTGGATGCTGCAGAACACGTCGCGTGTCCAAAAATTCCCATACGACTCGTGCCTGGTAGCTGCATGACGAGTTGTTGGCCTGTCGACTTGACCTGTTGTGCGACGGAGGCTCTCTGGCAAAGCACGATTGAACCTGATGTTCCTGTTGTCGGACAACTTTTCCCTCTAGGTGCCAAGGCATTCTCGCATTTGACAACGAAACAACCACAACGTGCACAGCTGAACCTGTGGGCAATCTACGAACGTTGAAATGAATTGAAGCGCGCTCTTTGGCTATGGGGTTAAGCCTGAACGCAGAGTTCCGATGGCAGTCGCCACAAAGACCTCCTGGGTTATCACCGTCGATGCCAACAAATCACTGAGAACGCACTTGCATCAGTCGACCACAACATATTGCCCTGCATCAGTTCTGGCACTTGTCTGTTCCACGGCCTTCAAATGGGACCATTCTCAAACACTCCCGTATGATTGTGCACAATTGCCATGTGCCGTGTCTGCACTCTATTTATGCCTCACAATCTGCTCTTGCGATTCAATATCGGCAAGACGGTGATGGCAGCGGCGCCAGCCCTGGCTGCTGCTGGAGGCCATGGGCACATGGCCGAAACAATTGACGCCAATGGGCTCCTCAGCACATTTCCGGATGACACCTGTGGTGCCGTCTTTCTGCTCGATGGGCCGGCTAAAGAGCCGCCACGAACCAACCTCTGCGTCCCACAAGTTCCCGTCCGCTTTTAAAGCCGTGCAGGTGGTGCCACCGCGCCCCAAAAAAACGTCGCACAACAGTCCTTGTGCGTCACACTTCCACAACTCCAACCGTCTCTTGTTCCAGGGACAGGTTGACTGCCTTCACCTTGGATATCCACGCGTCCAGGTGGTCAAGCAGACCCTGCATCTCTGGCCGCGTCAGCACTCGCGGCTGCACCCAGGACACCTGAACGTAGCCGTCCACCTGGTCTATGGTGCCCTCAATCAAATGCAGGGACAGCGCCCGCATGAGGAGGAACTCAACTCCGTCAAGGGAGAGCTTGGTACGCTCGCCGATCACTTTGAGAGGTATGCGGCGTTCTTCAGCTGGGAGGCTGCAAGGAAGCAGGTTCAACGGAATTCACACGGCTGATCGATATTGACGGACTGCCGGTTGCATGGGTCCCAACAGTGTTGAGGAAAGCACGTGTCCGCTACACGGCCAGTCAAAGGGGCCTGCGCCAACCTTGGCAACGCCATTGGGACCACCAGCGGCACAGACTAATGTCGAAATTCCACACCAAAAGCAGCCCAATAATCTTCAGTTTCAGATGGACAGCGTCCTGCATGGATGAATTACGGTACCCAAGCAGAAACTGAACAGCCGCACAATTTCGCCATCATCCCAAGGAGGCAGCTCTCCGCTGCTGCAGTTTGCTGCTTTAAGCAGTCTCTGTGGAGATCATCCACAGACGACACAGACAGCAGAATGGTAGAGTCAAAGATCACTTGTCAGTCAGTGCCAATCACAACCTGTCAAGGGATATGTCGTGGACACTGTGTGTTGCCATGGCAAACAAGCACAGTACCATGGAATACATCTGCAAGAGTAGCGTGGCCGGTGTACCTGAAAATCAGCTCCAGCAGACACATGATTGTGAGCTTCTCCTTTAGTTTTCTTTCGTTTTCAACAAGCGCTGGCTGCTCATTGAGCACACTCGCATACTTCACACACATTTCTTCATATGTGTGCATGTCCCCTTGATTGAAAACCTCCAAGAGCTCATGAAGCCACTTGTATTGGGAAGTGTCCAGCACATTGATCTGTCAACAAAAAGAATCCCCATCAATTGTTTGCAGCTCAGAAGCGCAATCCAGTCACAACAACCCAGGTGCACTGACCAGTCGTGCAGCATGCAACAAGTTGGTTTAAAAGTACATCGTGCACTTGCATCACGTCAGAATCTGAAGCATGCATCCCACAATGGGGAACCTTGCATAGACTTCAGCTGTGACAGTCCAAGAGAGAATAGCAGAATACTGCCCTTCACAAGGGCAAGCCTGTCACTTTCTACAGGCGCGCTACTTGTTCCAAGACTGCCATTGATTGGCTTGTGCCCAACCTGTGCACAGTCATTGCGCCCTGCAGATATGATTGGAACTATTCTCAGAACGGCAGCCATGGCTGAATGCTGCAGGCCAGAGAGGTCGCAGAAGTACTCACGATCGGATGAAGCAGCAGCTCTCCAAAGTTGTACACGTCGTCTGCAAGCAAAGCTGAAAAGGAAATGTCCACAGCCAGTGACTGCAAATCATACACCACACAGAAAGGAGACCATTCAACTGGAAGCCAATTGCGAACAGATAGGCCATATCTGCCCCACAATTCGTGCTGAGAATGGCAACCAAGCACCAAGACATTGCAGGTAGAGCAATTTCCAACAGCTTATCCAAAGGCAGGATTTTGTGCAAGGACGAGTCGCTCACTGTGGCATCCCAGTGGACCAATCAAGGTCGATTCACAACAAAAGCGCAATTATCAACTCACGAACAGTAGAAATCAGCTGTGTTTTGTACCAGTTTTCTTTCTTCTGGTAGTGATTCTGATGACTTGTAAGCCAAGTACATCAAAGCGCTTCGGTAAAACTCTGCAAACTCCCGCCTGTGCTTGTGGTACAAGCTGCAAACCAAGTGGTAGGCAGCATGCACTGTGGGATCTACCTGCGAAGAAGGAACATACCTGGCTGTCAGACAAACAGCACTGACAGTGGCTGTATTACACTTCGATTGCAACAAGGGCAGCCAACTGTGGGACTTGACATGGTTGGTCACAATCTCCACTTCATCTGCTCCGTTGGGTCAACAAATGTGATTCTGCTGGCTGGATCCCCACTCCCTACTAAACACCGATTATGGCAGCATAGCTCACAATCAGATACAAGGGGTTGTGTGTCACACAGCTTCAAGTGTGCATGCTATGGAGTCCATCACAGCTGTTTTGGTATCGCCCTTCAAAAACATGCTAAAACATCGGGTATTGAACATAACCGATCTGCAGAGGGCTCTGCAACGATGCAAACCGAAGGAACGCATTCAATATTGCTGTCTTGGCAAGCGCCTGGGCAGTTGGGGCACAGCACCTGGGCTACAGTCACTGCCATTCTTCATTCTGCGCAGGGGGCTATTGAAAAACACACGCAATCCTCACAGAGGCGCTCATCGCTTGTTGGATCCACAATTCGGATCGCACAACAGATGGCAAGGAAAGCCCCGATCCTGGACCACCAGCGACCCGCCTTCCGCCACTCACATCCGCGAGCCCCTCCAGAGCCTCCTTCCCCTCGTCAATCAGCACCCTGCACTCGTCCACCTCCCCATTCCTCAGCTTCTGCTGCGCAATGTGCATCCGAACGAAGGCGATCGGCTCCTCGGTCTTGACGTGCCGCATCCCCTTCAGCTTCTCGAGCACGCCCTCGAGGAAGACCAGCGCGGAGGGCGCGTCCTCGTGCAGCTCGGACACGGTGACCGCCATCTGGGCCAGCTTCAGCAGATTGAGCTTGGAGGCGAAGTCAGTGATGAAGCCCGTGTACAGGCGTATGAGTGCATTCCCCCGCCTGAAGCTGGTGTCCTGAAACACCTCTTCCAGCCTCAGGGTGAGCTGGTGCCACAGCTTGCGCTCGTACAGCGATCCCAGGTCGTCGAGGCAATCCCCGAGCGCGGGGAGCTCCGATTTGAGGCGGGCTAAGAACTCGAGGGGCTTGGGCGCCATGGCGGCGAGGGCAGGTTGCGGGGCAAGGCCGTTGGCAGGTGGGGTGGGGGCGGCCGGCACCGACACTTGTCTCGGGAGGGTGTGTTGCGCGCCGGCAGGGCCGCTGCCAGAGCCTTCTACCTTGCACAACAGTGCACAGCAACATAATCGACCTGTGAGCATGTACCGATGCCCAATAGATGGGAAGTCCATTCTCGGCCACGTTATGGCACAATGGCCACATTCTCAAGCAGGAAAAAAGGAGGCCCTTCTCTTGCGCTATCATCGCTGCGCACTGCGCCATAGACAAACACTCCTGGTAGGGGCGCGATTCAGGCATGTGAAGGTTCGATGTCAAGTAAAAATGGAGGAAGGCAATGCCATTCCATACCCTGCAGGCATGTGTTCCAAAGTTTGTAACATTCTGCGGCGACCTTGCGTATCAATAATACAAAGGGTGCTGATCATCAATGGCCGTGCGCGGTCCGTTAAGCCGAATGAATACATTTGTCATTACATTTCTTGCTGCTACCCAACAGCCGGAAAAACTCATTTGAAAGGCTGGGCAGCTACATTCATCGCCTGGATGGATCCTCCCCACTGCAAGTCAGGAAGTCCCAGCGGTTGTGAAAGCACCCACTTGACCAACTATCCCCAGGTACGCCACGGGTAGATATGCTTACTGAACTGAATTGAACAGACATTCCCTAAATACAGGCAGCGTATGCTTCGCATCAATGTCTCATCAACGTACCAAACAGAACAGATTCGCACAGGCACCCCCGGTATCTCAACCTTTGTCAGCTTCAAAAACCGCGCGATGCAAGAAAGGTACCAACAATAGTTACCAACAGTCGAACACATAACAGCACCGGCAAGACAACGTGAGCTGAAAAAAAAAAAAAAGCGGTGCCCCAGGCGCCGGGTAATTAAGAAGTGCGCAGTCCCACCCACGCAGTTGGGAGACGCCAAAGAAATTCTTTCCGCCCACTTTCTCTCGTAAATGGCCAATGATGATCGACTTGGCAGTATTGGAAATCCCAGCGGTTTCCAATTTCGCTGCTGCTTCCCTGCCTGTTTCGCCACTCGAACGACCGCTGGGATCTGCGGGCGGGCCGTTGAAGGGCAGAAGTTGGGCCAAGCCCGGCCTGCCTTTGAGTCTCCGGATCGCCTGCCGCGCGGGTCAGGTCTCGGACTGAGGTGCACTCCCCGCTGTCACCGATCCCAGTACGGACAGGACGGCCAGATGGCGCCCGGAAGGAACAGCGCCGCTGGCAGGAGCCGGAGGGGAGGAGGCCGGAGCGGCCGATCTGTGCAGCGCCAGAGATACGGAAACATTGCGGCCAAGAAAGGGCTACGGGCGTCCGGGGGCATGCGCAAGCCTATCTATGTGAGCAGACGTTGTCGCCAAGGAGGCCGCGGCGCGAGGGGCCTTCTGAAACGCGGCCGGGGGGCGAGGGGGAGGGCCGGGGGCAGGCGCGTTCTTCGGGACGGCCCCGTGCGCGGCTCCAAGGCCGTCAAGTCGAAAGAGGATCTCGACAAGGAGATGGACGACTACTTCATGTGCAACGTCGAGCAGGCGGCGAAGAAGCTCGACAGGGATCTGGAAGACTATTTCTCGGGGAGGAATGCGGGGGAGGGAGGGTGGGGGGCGGAGGGCGCCGGTGGGGGTACCGGGCAGAACGGGGGCCAAGCCGGCGCGAGGGTACCGTGATCTGCCTCCCGGTCGTCGAGGGCTCCACGGGGGGGTTTGCACACAGGAGCGGGTTGCAGGCCTGCGACTGGAATTGCTCTGTGGGGGCTTTGCGCTGACGAGGGCGACGAACGTTGGCGACGTGGCTGCAGGGCAATGGACGGGAAGAAGGGCACGAGGAAAGTCGTCAAGTCACCGGCCAGCCCCGGAAAAGTCGTCTAAGATCTTGAAGGGAAGGGCATGGGCTTCCAGACCTCGCCGTTTGGCGGGGTTGCGCGTTTCGCGGTCAGGACGGCACCGCCGTTGATACAAGGGGCGAGGGGTACCCTGCTTTTGCCACCCCGTGCATTGGCCGTCAAAATGATGTTGGCATAGTGATTGTCCACAAGGTGTGTGCTTTGGATCTCTAAGGCTCATGGCTTGTGTGCAACACCACTGGGAACATGGATCACAACTTGCTGTCAGACTGCGACGGCTAGAGGTCAATCCCTCGCACGGCGGCGCTGTGAATCTCTGCTTGTTGGGGAGGAGGGCCTTTCACTGGGCAGGAAGGACCAGAGCGACAGACGAACAGCAAGTAGGAAGAAACATGCGCCAGGTTGGCGTGGTCTGCAGTTTCGAACGGCAATGTGCGGAATGCATGGCGGTCTTCACGTGCCCACCTCTTGCTCGACAGCCTACTGCAAACATGGGCACGAGTAGGGGTCGCAAACTCTTGACTCACTTCACAGCGATCATCGATGCTTAGTTGACGCTTTTGAATTGGCCTTTCTGCATTGACGAATGCCAAATCGCTGCTGATGTGCAGAACTCTGCGTCTAATCTGATCGTCTTCGAAAGGCAAACTCTTTCCAGGGCACCATTGGTTTGGGGGCACCAATCGCCTGCCGCTTGGGGCTCTTATGTCGGCAACAGTGTGGTGGTTTCAGATGTGCATTGAGCTCTGCGCTCTGAGCACGATTGCCCGCTGCGAACAGTGCTGATGAAAGCCCGTGTTGACGGCGCGGCAACTTTGAACACATGGTTATAGCATGGGTGCTACAATGCACACAGAATGGCTGATCGCATGCACCACCTCTTTGTCTCCTGACAAACATATGCAGTTTTCTGGTGGAGCAAAACTGGCAAGGGTGCATTTCTGATGCATTCAGCACATGGGGGTGTTCTCTTGGGGCGTCAAACCCGGTGGGCTTCCTGAGGCCCTCATGGCAGCACGTGCTCAATTCTGCCCGGGATTGCGCCCCCCAGCCACTTCCTCTGCACATTCGGCCAGCAACGAGAATGCCCTTTCATTTTCAATTGGCAGCGTCTGCACTAAACACTCTTTCGTGCAAAATGTCGTTAGTGAGCCAATAGCACAATTAGTGTGCAACATCTTGATTTTCAAGCAAATTGTAAAAACTAGTGTGTTCAATACATGCAATCGACCCATAATGCAATAGACATATTCAAGATCAAAGAAGAACATGTTTTGAAGTGCGCAACATTACCATTTCTATACTTGTGTAATATCCACTAACGACATTTTGCACGAAAGGTGTTACTATGTGCGGCCAATTTTACGGGCTTGGGTTTGCGCCATCCAGGCACTTGCACATACACTGTTTGCGGGCAATCACAGCCGTCTCCAACAGCGAGTCGACAGCACGACGCGAGCGCGTGCTGCAGACACTGCTTTTATTCCTGGAACTGCCATTGAAGAGCTGCTTTCCTTTGTGGAACCCGGCTGCAAGCCAACTCTCGAGGGGGCTTTGGACAGGTGGGGGGTTACGTGGGGGTATTCTTGGCTTTCGTTGATTTTGCTCAGTTCTGTGATCGGTTGGCTTAACAGATCTGGACCCCTCCCGCCTCAGCGTCAACTGTGATTGAGCGTGGCAAAATCGCCCCAGTGGCACCCCGTCGGACTGACAATACAGGCTGTGAAGTGATGCCGAAATTGTTCAGCAGAAGAGGAGCAGAAAGGAAATATTCACAGTCCTGCCTTTTCGGCCAAGATGCCCCGTGGGACTGCCATGACAGAAACTTCCCTGGCTCTCCAACAACGCAATTTCAATGATTTCCTTGACAAGGAAAACTGCCATAAAAAACACACAGGTACCGGTTCGCGGCGAACTGCAAAGTTTCCAAACTCGGGGGGGGCTGCGATGATCTGATGGCATTTCTTCGCGCGATCACCGCGTCGTGCAACAGACGGGTCGCGAGGCAGGCGGTCGCCGGACTCTTGCAGCCGGGCCCTTCTCCGGGGTGGCCCCGCCAGGCAGCGCAACTCTGGCGGCGCTGCAGCAATGCCGTGGAGCGCGAGCTGGGCCCCTCGGCCCGGTGGGCCGGCGCGGATCGCCAACTCCTCTTGCTGGTGTTCGCCGCGAGCGGGTGCACTGCGTGCGGCGTGGCATACGCCTCGAAGCGGGACGGGCAGCAGAAGACTGAGGGGTCCAAGTTTAGGTCGCAAGGCGCGGTGGACCATTTTATGGCGTGGTTGAAGTCTAGGGGGGCCGATCTGGAGGCCGTTCAAGTCCTGCCGTCGCAGGTGGGTTGATTATCAGAACTGCGTACTTTTCTGTCTGGAAAGGCGTGCAAACGTGGCCCACAGCTGGCACATGATTCGCGAAGCGGTGCAAATTCTGGTTCAAGCAGAAGCACTGTAAGGCACACACCCATTGTGCCTCTGTGGGACGATGATCCCTCTCGCATTGGCACCATTTCGCGCACGTCATGCGGGACATAATTGCCGGATCGAAATTCACTGTCTCCGAACGGACACATGTGGTGTTGTGTAGTTTGAAATCTCATGACCGCCTCTGTACCCATACCAAAATAGAGTCTTCTACTGTTCAATTTGTCGCCCCATGGAGCACAATATCTTTGGACTTACTGGGTGTTTTTGTGCCTGCCGCACAGGACATGGAACAATCTGGACTTGGCTTGTGTGCAGCGCCTGCGATGAGAGACAGGCAGAGGACAGGCATCCTTGGAACAATTGGTAGATTTCTCCACGTCAGCAGAAGAGAATTCGTTGCTGCCTCATTTCCACTGAGTTCTAGCTTAACCGTGGAGACAGCATGCTCTGATAAGGCAGTTGGTCCAAGCTTGCAGGGGCTCCTTGACACAGGCCAAATCGATGAACATGACGTGCTGGCGATATTTCTAATGGTCCAAAAGCTGCTGGGTTCCGATTCCGAATGGGCTCCTTGGCTTCAGTTGCTTCCAGATACACCCCAAGTTCCATTATACTTCAGTGAGAGGGAGTGGCAGGAGCTCAGAGGCACAACAATAGAGAGGGCAGCTGCTGCAATTCGTGATAGATTGAAGATGCAATGGCAGCATATTGAGCAAGAGTGCAAAGACTTTACAGCCAAGGTGGGCACACCTTACATGCATTTCATCAGAACCGTGCCAGCTTGTGTTATTCTGCAGTGCAGCATGTGATAAGCTTGCCCTGAATGGAATGGTATCTGCAGATAAACTTTCTGTGAAAATCAAGGTATTGGAGAGTATATTTGTATTTCTGTCGAGTCAAATGCAGATTGCAGCAGCCGAGAGACTGTCTCATGTGTTATTGACCAGCCAAATTCAACAGTTGAGTTTGTCAAAACTATGTCCATGCTCTGGCACCCCAGTGACTGTCTTAATGTTTTGCTTCATGTGTTCATAGTGGTTTCTGTATTATTCCTGTTGATCAGGCAGGTGCATCAAAGAAACCGTCTTTCAGTGATTTTCTTTGGGCTCAAACCATTCTGGGTTCGAGATCAATACACGTACCAGTGAACGAGGGTGGTGAGAGCACATTCTTTGAAGCCATCGTGCCTGGCCTGGACTTTTGCAATCATGTGCCAGCTCCAGGTTGCAGGTACGGGATTGTCTGATACCACCAAGTGACCACGAGTCTGCTTACTGGATGAAAGCAGACACTGCAGTCTCCCCACTACCTTTGATCTGTTTACTGTATGAGCAAGCAACCATGGAAGTATCAGCTGTAGTGCCAATCTCCATCCATTTCCGCGTTATTTTACTGCCAAGAATAGTGAGATAATAGCAAGAATCAGTACTTGTATAGAGGATTACTTGAAGTCAGAATGGACACTGTCTTCCTGTGTGCATTTTTAAAGAATTGTATGGTGATCTTAAGATGTGAACGCGTTTTGCTACCACATGAGACATTCTTTCACCCTTAGTCACATTGGCGAGTTCTGCTCAGTGTACCATTTATTCCCTTTTTCCTTTTCCCCTTGTTTTCTTGCTTTAACCGCTGTTCACACCCAACCTAAGCTTCTACATGCTTTGTCTCTTGGTGTGATTGGAGTGTTTGTTGGTTTGTAGTGTTAAAACTGCCTGTTGATTGTGCATGAGAAGGTGGGTGCCATCCAAGAAGCCATGCAGAAAGCAACCAGGCTCCAACAAGGATGGAGACACATCTCACATGCACATCGACCTTGTGGCAGATCCCCGGAAGCCGCTGCAACCTGGAACCCAGCTCAACATCTCCTATGGTGACCGATCTAATGAGGAGCTATTGTTCCAATACGGCTTTTCCTTGGAGCTCAATCCTAACGATGCCCTGATGATCAGCTGCCCACTGGAAGAGCCCACACCACACTCCCCAAGCCTGGAGCCCCGTCTGAGGCTCCTAAGGTCTTATGGCCTTAAGCCGCAGTTCTTTCTCCCGAATGGGGAGGCGCTGCATCTTGCAAAGTCCAAGGCCACAGAACTGGCCGATCTGAGGGCGAAGGGACGACTGGCGGGCAGCCTGAGAGGAGTGTTTCCTGATCGCATGTGGAAGGTGCTGGAGGTTTTTGTCATGGAGCCAGAAGAGGTGGCCAGTCGCCTTGGAGAGTCAAGTCCTGGCAGCCAGGGCATGGGCAGATCGATTCCCAAGAAGGGAGGCAACTTGAGAGATCTGGGCTTGGAAATGGCAGCCGCCACCACACTTGTTCGCCTACTGGAGATGAAAATGGTGGAAATGGAGGGTCCAGAAGGCACTGGACGCCTTGAGGATGACATCAAGATTATCGAGGAGGCCAATTCGGGTGCAAGCACCATGTCACAAAGCAAGTGGTCCTGCCTGGTGTACAGGGCACAGCAGAAGCACCTGGTGCGTGAGTGGTTGGATGTGTCTGGACGTCACTTGCAGGATGTGATGAATCGCCTGGAGGGTGCAGTTGCATGAGTGTAGTTGTGTTGCAAGTTGTTTATGAGTGGATAAGAGAGCTTGGGTAAGAATATTTGTAATGATACAACCAGCGAGCGTTTGATGCAAACCCACTCTGTTCTTTGCGTACATCTGCATTGTGGAAACAACCGATCTGGTGAAAGATAACACAGGAAGTGGTTGACCTTTGCCATGTGCATGGGGGTGTTCTTCTCACACTGGAATAGCAAGTCAAGCTTTTAGAGTGTTTAGATGCTCTCTTGACATCCACTGTCAGCATGTGCACAGGTGTGAGCAACGTCTCAAGTGGCACCTGACATGAAGCATGTCGTTCAACTCAAGCGGACGAATCTAAGTACAATTCTTGCGTGTATTTTCTGGTGCACAGTTGTTATGGGCTTGTGATAAAATGAGCACCATCAATGTGCAGAAGTTCGTATGCTTCGTAGTCAGATGCAGTGTTGCAATTCCAGAGGCCTCAGTACACTGTGTCGATGCCATTTGCACACTCGCAATCAGCGACCAGCAAGGTAGCTGCACCATTAGCAAGGTCAATCTGTATTTGTTCCTGGACCCAAACAGCTCGCCTGCCATCCAGGGATGAACAGGCCAGATGGTTCGAAGGATACGCAATCGACTGAACGCGTACAAGGCCACATCAACGTCTTCGCACACTGCTTGAGGAGGTGTGTGGTGTCGTGGCACAAGATTTGGAGCCGTGAGCCCCTCCAAGACAGCAAACGCAACCAACTGAGGAACTGACACAATCCTCCTTGAAACTGGCGATCCTCGAGAACTTTCGCTGAATTTTTTTAGCAAGTACAGCTTGTTATGTCGAATCATCGTCACGTGTTTGTGCCCCACCGCGTCTAGACAATTCCACGCAATTGGGCGGGGCCTGCCCGGCAGGCCCCGACCATTCACCGGGCAAAGGTAGTTGCCTGCAAACTCTGCGCCCTTTCATGGACTGGTTTGGCGCAACCCGGCGCCTCAGCGCACACTCATCGTCGGCTCAGGATGGATGCGGGAGAAAATAGCCTTTGCCGAATGCGACATGAACAAGGATTCCATTCAAGGCCGGAACAAACTTCCGAGGTGTGGGCGGGCGAATCGACAAACATTGGTGCCCGCATGATATGTCGCGCACCACAGCTATAGGCGCAGCCTGTAGCAGGCAGGCGCAAGGGCAGTGCTTTATCCTGCTTGCGACAGGTGTTCTGACAGGATACCTCCATGCTGATCCTGTCAAGATGAAACGCAGAACATGTCGTGCGTGCCCACATGCAGAAGTGCCCGGAGACCAAAAAAGGCCAGGCACCTCGCCCCATTCCAAAGCAGAAAAACAGCGCCACATCCGCGGACCTCGGCACAGGCGGCGGCTTCTCCTGCAGGGCTTGCACGCGGAGGGCAGCGGCGAGAGGCGTCCACGCGCCTCGAAGACGCAATGGTGAGATCCCCTGACGCGGCGCGTGGCGCCTGTCGCGCCATGCGCTCGAGTGGTCACGTCGTGCTCAGATGCACGAGCGCCCCTGGGATGTAACGACCGGATGCTGGCTTGTGTCCCGCAGCCGCGGCAGATCAGCGAGATTAAGGATTTCCTCCTGACTGCGCGTCGGAAGGATGCACGGTCTGTGAAGATCAAGGTGACCAAATCGAAGATCACGAAGCAGAAGGTCACCAAGTTCAAGGTCCGGTGCTCACGGTTCTTGTACACGTTGTGCGTCACCGATGCCGACAAGGCGGAGAAGCTGAAGCAGTCGTTGCCTCCAGGTGCGCTGTGGGTCGCTGGCAAGGCAATCCCATGTTCACGTGGGCCGACGGCGGTCTAGTTTGAGAAACCGCTGGGGCAGATTCCCGGCGGCTAGTTGAAAATTCGCACCCAAGAAGGTTGTTAGATCCGCATGGAAAGCTCATGGGCACTGTTTCAGACCCACAGTGGAAGCCTGGTCCCAAAGATAATACAGAGAATCTGATTTGGTGGCTTCTGCATCCAGATTTGGCGTCTGTGCATCCCCCTCAAGCAGGCCTTGGATTGTGAATGTCGTTGACCTGAGGTTATTGTAGATTACACCAATGCATGGTCCTGGGTTTGGGGCTTCTCGAGATAATTTTAATTATTGCCACCAGTTCTTGGGACGTTCCCTTGGCCTCCAATGCTTTATGGCCCCCTCCCTTTCCCACGGCCAAATGGGTAGCAATGGAGACACGAACTACCAGTACAAGAGTTGATATGGCACACAATGTTCTTGGAAGAATTGCTGCTGATTGTGGTGCTGACTGCCACTTTTGCCTTTCTGACAGGTCTTCAAGTCCAAGACATATGAAGCATGTTGCCACCGACACTGTGATGATGCCCAACGGACATTGGCTGCTTGTTATGAGTGGATTTTTGTTGGGCAGTGAATGCTACGACTGAGTTTGTAGACAAGACTTGTGTGTAATGGGAAAGCCTGGGCTGCACAGGGGAGGGGTCCTGGATGGTCCAGGCCTTGATCATCTGCTGTGGGCATTGCACAAGGAGTGCGCTTTCTTTGGTAGAGTGCTGGCCTAGTAGCATCCCCATGGAGGATCTCTGTGAGAATTGTGGCATTCTGTCTGGCACACACCCAACTGGTGTCCCTTGAGTAAAGCAGTCCAATGCAAGTGAACAACAGCCAATGCTCCAGGAGACCAGCTATGCAGCTTGCCCTGAGCATGATATCCAAGTACAGCATCCGTGTTCTTAATTGTGGTCAACACTGTGGGTCTGCCAAGCCCACATGTGCACATGCTGTTTTGGGGCTTTGCCATCTGACGATGGCAAGAGTGTGAGCTTCTTGTTGCACACAGATCGTCAGGGAGGCTGGCAAGCCTCGGTCAGGGCCCAGGTGTGCGTCTGACATTTCCTGTAGTTGAAGGTGCACACAATGCGACTTCAAGAGTGAAAGCAAACTTTATTTCGTTTAGTGGCGGACAATATTAGATCGTATATATGCCAAGGATGGAGGGCACCAGAGAGCTGCCTATGCTCTCCATGCTCAGCTTCAGTGGAAGGGTGCGGGAAGCTTCAATGAAGCTTCAATGAAGCCTCAATGAAGCAGGGAAGCTTCAATGAAAGGGTGTGCAGAGTGTCATCTGGTGTTGATGTGACAGTTGACTGCTATCACTCTTCACGCCAATATAGGAACACACGCTGCCGTTTTGTGCCTGAATGAAGTTGCCCATTGCTGCTCACGCGACCTTGCAGAGCAGGGAATAATAGTTGGGATGACAGCAATTTGCCTGCATGTGAGAATTTCCCACATGTTGCAGACATCTTCATTTGCTACTCTTACCAACCGCGTGACGAAGTAGTGCCTTTTCAACGTGCCACAAATGTCGCAGACGCCCCTACAGTTTGACAGCCACTGGCAGCGACTAAGAAACTTGATATTCTTCCTTCTGGCCTAACATCACAGATTCTGGAGGAAGCATGGAGACAGAATGCGCTTAACATTCGGCCAAGGGACTTAAACCTCAGCATCGCCCGACTCTAGCAGGAAGAATTCAAGGTGTACATTAGGATGTGGCGTTTTATGCAACCAACCCTCCCGTGCACTATGGCCGGCAGGCAAAGATGCGCAGGTCTACACCCATTCACGTGGATTTCCTCTCATTAACTTCAATATCGGCCCCATTCTGCTCGAAATCAAGCCAGGACAGGATGTCCTCTCCATTTCCAGATTCCCCGCCGTGAGTGTCCGACGCCCTGCTCTGCTTGTTCGACCTTGACCCGGGCTGGAATTGTTGGCCGGGATAGTTATCCAGATTCTTCTTCACTGCCCATATGTCGGTGCCATGTTGAAATTTTGAACGAAAGCCGTCGGGATGGAAGTGTTGATGGCTGTCCACTCCATCGCACGCACTGCCCCCCTCCTTTACCTCCTGCTGGTGGCAGTCCATCACATACTTGCCGTATGCCAGGACGTCCTTGACGTCCTGCAGGATCGGTTGCCGTGTTAGAACTTCCCACTTCTCAAACGGACTGTGGAAGAGGCTTCCAGGTGCGTAATTCATCGCCGATCTGTAAAACGCACAGCATCCACAACAGGATGAGTACCGAAGCAGCGAGGCCAGCATCGACGCCAATGTTAAGGTGTAAGCTTGGGAGCGATTGTGGAGTGCGATAGCACCGAGAGTCGTGCGAGCATCTAAAAATTGATATTGGTAGCAATATTAGCTGCCTTGCGCCCGCTCCGTTGGTCTTGCACTGCGCATTGCGCCAGGCACAGAGACTTGCAGCTTCAAGCGATGTGATAAACAGAGACGCAGAACTGCCATTTGAACCGGCAGCATTTCATGAAATGGTGCATCAATTGGCTGTGAATTCAGACAACGGCGGTGGTTGTGCACCTTCCCAGTACAACCCCTACGCGGGCGCCTACAGGAGCACCATACACATGGTATCCGCAATGCTCCCAGTCATGGAGGACTCGTCGGGGTCTCAGAGGAGACCCAAAATGTAACGTACTAAGGGGAACTTCAGGTTTGCTGCAGACTCCTGAAAGCCCTGGAATTATTGACCTATTGGACTTCAGCGCAAGATAGCAAATGCCTGTTTGGGTGTTCATGTTCTGCTCATGTTAAGGGTCGACAAACAAGCTCGCTGCAAGCAGACATGTTTTCAGGCTTCGATAATAGCAAGGAGTTGGGGCTTACCGGTGGGGTATGTGTCGCAAATTGTAGCCTCGATTGATCAAGTGAAGAAGCATTTTAGGGCTCTGCAACATCCTGTCAACGTTCTTGGAACGTTCCCAGATCCCCGGCGAGTAGTTGAAGAATATGTTCTGTATCGTGTAATTCTTCTGCAGACGTTGGACAGACTCAATTACATCAGTTTCGTAGCCTTCGACGTCGGCCTGCAAGCAATGTAAGGTCATAGGTGTCAACGAGTTTCGTGGAGCTCAGGTCAAGGCATTTGCACAGGAACGGCAGTTGCCTCGGATGCATGAAGAGGGCAGAGGCCCTTGCTGGGGCCCTAATGGCCTTGGAATGCAAAA